AAAAAACAAACAAACAACCTTCTGGATGTCATAAGGTTACATACTTGGAAATAAGCACTTAAAAAACAGAGAAAGCAAAGCATTCTTTAATTTATATCTGTAATATATAGTATGTCTAGTCTCAATATATTTAATCATACTCAACTAAGCTAGGCAGCATACCATCTGGACTGAGAGATTCAATTTCTTTAGCCAGAATATACAGCGACAAGATGCATAGAAGCAACTGACGGAAAGTTGCAGAGAAACTGCCCATATTGGTGCAGGTTACACATAATAATTTTAGTGAAACTTGTCGGATTTGTAGAGCGGGGTCATTCCGCAGCACATCCAGCAACAGGTGACGATGCCCAGCAGCCACTCTACCAAATTAACCGCTCTCCTGACAGACCAAGTTAATAAAAAATTACAAGTTGGTACATGAATTTCATACTTATTTGTTTTCTTTATTTTCGAGCACATGGAAGAGTTTCAATCATAATGCAGCAAGCAGATACCCATGTAAAAAGACGTGCAATGCATCACATTTTGTGAGCAGTGGTGCAATACAGATGTTATAAACAACGCTAAGTTACACACTGGGTCAAAGAGCTGGTTTAGTCATACTGATAAGTGTTCCTACCATACTGATCAAAATTGACAGCAGTACATAATTTACCAAATTGAGTTGTCCCACATTGATTCTATAGGGAAAATCAGCCTAGTGGGCTACTCCTCCCATCACCAATTGGTTTTGGGAAGGAATCTCACTAAGGTGCACCTAAGCTCACCCTCTTATGGTGCGTTTCACGTGGTGGGACCGCACTCTCTTTCCCCGGTTCTTATATCGAACCGTAGCTAGTTCAGCTATGGGCATATAGTTATGCACCAAACTTACAGAAACAAAAACAGAAATATATGGATGCACATTTAGGTTGCTGAAAGCTAAAGTTTGGCACCAAATGAACCAATTCAATGCAGAACATCATTCAATGGCTCATGCCTAGATCATGGAATCATAAAACCCACTTTTTACAGTAATAGTTGACATTTTTTTTTTCCAAAGGCAAACAATAACATTCACTAACTCAATCAAGCATACATCGGTACCTAAATAGGTACTGGTTCAGAAGTTACATCAGCCACAAAGACTACTTCCACAGCAGGAAATTAACAACTATTTCCTTCTAGCCTTCAAGTTAATAGTTGACATTCACAAGCACAATTCTGCCACCATCACTCGGTTTCCTCAATCAAGCTAAATCAAAATACAACCTAAAGAAGCACAAAGTTCAAGCACCTTACCCCATCAAAATTCTTATCCCCAAACACAAAGGCCTAATCTACATAACCCAGGCTGTTTCCGTTGAGTAAAACTAAATTTCACACTCTACACAGTTCATGAGCAAAACAAACGCGTACCAGTACAGATGTCTTCTCCAAAACACGGCTATTTACAGTGATTTTGAAACTCTATTTCACAATTTACACTTCATGACCACACAAATTCATATCAATCCAGTTTTCATCCGAAATCCACCGACAAGATGAACAAATTTACCTGGAGCTGGCAGTACAGGCAGCACCGCAGCAGATTTGATTCACGCAATCTCAGATTGATAGAATAAGACTGAACGACTGAGAACGGCCTTTTGCAGCTGTCACCGGTGAGACTGTACCACGCGGCGGAAGAAAAGTTGAAGTCCGATTTTCTCTCTCTAGGATTTGTGCAGTACAGAGCGTTGGATTTGGACAGGACAGAGAGAGAGAGTGTGTGAGTGCCGAAAGGGGCAATGAGTAGAAGCCAATGGGAATGGAGGTATAGTGGCACGTGCCGCGTAGACACCTCGCACGCGCGCCATACTGAGGAAGTGAAGAAAGGAATCTATAATTATATTAAAAGAATAACCTTTTTTTAACTTACCGCCAAAATTTTTTTAACTTACCGCCAAAATTTTTCCGCCAAACAATTCGTGTACAGTTACAATAATTGCTTCCCTTTTTTAACCTTTTTTCCGCCAGAAAATTCATATACAGTTACAATAAAATAAATGCCTCACTTTTTTTTCGTGTACAGTTACAATCAATGCTTCCCTTTTTTTAACCT